CAGGACCCATCAGCTCCAAGTCAAGTAGTTGTTTCAATCTAGTTGTGGAGGGTGCAGCTCCTTGGCCCATGTGGGAATTGAACCAGCAACCTTGGTGTTATGAGCCTGAGCTCTAACCACCTGAGCTAACTGGCCGCCCCTAATTTTTTAAAAGTATATCTTAAGACCAATTCAAAATACGAAAATCAGTATATATCATCATATTTCTCTGATGAGCAAACTTCCCTCATGCACTACAAATATGAGCTGACACATGATTGATTGGCATTTCACTTTTGGGGATCACAGCTTCTGTAATCCATGGGGCAAACATACCTCTGTGAGACAAACAGGTGAGCTGTGCTTACCTCTGTGTCATCTCTGTCGTAGAGGTCTCGGGCAGGGATGAGAGAACCAGGGACTGGAACCTCTTCCAGTGCATTACCCCAGGTATAATGTCCTGGAATGGAAACCAGCACAGGGGTCCTACATGTAAAGGCACTGCTTGGTGAGGTAAAGTCTGGGAATGACTTCCATTTCATTTAGCTGACTATTGTTCAGTTTTAAAAGTTTAGCTCCAAAATGTATCACTGCATTCAGCTTGACTGAATTTTTCTGAAGCTAAAAGACAACTGTTCCAGTAAAGGGCATTAAACAATGCAACACGGAATTGATGTAGGGACAAAGGAGCGTTTTTCTCCCCCACCTCCCCACCTCGGTTCATTAGGCACACAAGCAATAGGTCCTGGCGACTGAGGGCAGATTCGGCCTTATGATCCGTTTGATTATTGTGAATGTGGTGCTGATGCATCAATCAAAGAGGCTGGGTGGTTCATCAAGTGGCACTGCAGGCAGGGGAAGCACCTGCAAGCGCACGGGGGGGAGGAGAGGATGCGAAGGAGGGTGCTGTCGGGAGGCCACCAGCTGGGCAGAGTGAGGGGCCTGTGATGGGGATTGTGGGAATTGAGGCTGGAAAGGAAGGCTGATCGGAAAGGGTCTGTGAGCCAAGCTAATGAGCTTGTAGCTACTCCCTGGGCAGCAGGACCACTGAGGGTTTTCAAACTGGAAAACTGATCGGATGTGTGTTGGAGGAAGGTTTCTAGAGAGGGCTGACTGCACAGTGGTGGGCCATGACAGGGAGGAGACAGAGACGTGCATGTTTGGGACAGGCTGGTGGAATCCAGTGCTGGTTAGATGTGGGAATAAGGGACAGAAAGGAATTGAGGATCTCATGGGCTACTGTACAAGTCACAGAACAAAAAGGTGACCCGGAGGAAGAGCCAGTTTGAGGTGTGGCTGGCAGAAGTGGGGCAGAGACAATGGTCTAAGTTAGGGATTTATCGAGTTTGAAGGGCCTGAGTGTAACCACTAAGAGATGTATTGGATATTCAGGTCAGGTTGGTGATCTAGGGGGAGAAGGAATTCCGTGGAGCATCTTCCTTGCTGAGCATTTGTTTTATTACCACTGCGTCCATTCTGATGTTTCTACACTTGAGGCCAAAGAAAGGAGGCCAGACCATGGGGTTAGGCCTGCCATGTGACTGTTTGTACATGGTTAAAATAGGAATAAAATGAATAGGAGGCGTAGCCTTTGAGGGAAAAAGAGAGTGAGAAGTTTGAAACAAGGGTGACATGAAGCCTGAGAGGTGGGTATGGACAGGACAAGAGTGGTCTGGGGTCTTCCCCTGTCCCCCTGGGGGGCTGACAGTAAGGGAGTGTACACAGTCACCACTGTTACCATTCGTGTTCTGCAGCTATGACCCTTCATTCTTGCCCCTGCCCTCCCCTGTAGTCTAGGGTCAGCTCTGTCAGTGAGCCTGGTGATGGCATTACCGTGTGATGGAGAAACTGTTTTTGGGTGAGAGGAATGCTGGACCCACTGTGGCACTCCTTAGTGAACTTGTACTTGGGGTGAGAGCACAGATGGTAATCAATCAAGGTTTCTGAGTAGGTCAGAGGGTGCTTCACAGCAAATAATCCTGGGCTGGGATTCTGCAGGAGAGAGAGAAAAAAAGATTCTGTTTTGTTTACTGGTTTCTAAGCCAGGCGTAGGACAGGCGTCAGCTAATGTTCTTCACGGCTCCCACCAGCACTCACATGCTGACTCCATGTCAGTTTGTCTGGGGAAGAGAAGCAGGCGAGCAGAGGTGTCTTCAAATTGGCAGTGTCTTAAATGTCACAGTCATTCATAAATGTCACTTTTCTGATTTAAGGGCTTCATTACATGCCATGTGGATTTACTAAGCTCACATGGAAACAAGTACAACTGAAATCACAGCTTAAAATGGCTTAAAGTATTTGTTTCTATATTTGATGAATTAGAGGGCTTTATTAAATAAACAAACTGGTTTTAAAAAGCAAGTAAGCTTCTGGCTTTGGGGAAAAAAATTAGCTTCTTAAAACCTACTTCAAAGAGAAGGCAAAGAAGAGGGGTGACATTTGCTATATCAGGAAATGTCAACATTTAACATTGTTTTGGTCATGTTTTTAATTGAGAAAGGCTCCATTTGGCTGTAGTATCTGGTTTTAAGGAAGATCCTGTTTTTTACTAAATTTCTAACAGAACTAATAAAGGCACAGCGTAATTATATCAAAATATGAAAATATAGAGCCTTTTAATGTTCCTTCAAGGGTCTGTCCAACAAAAATCCCATTTTTTGTCCCAAATAACAATATAGCTTTTGCCCCCTCACAGTTAATTTCAGATGTTTAAGAACCACTAAGGTGAGATTTTGTCCTATATGTTTCTATAACTTTAAAAAATAATTTAAAAAACCCCACCAAACTCCACATGGTGTATGGAAACCCAGTCTCACTGCCAAGAAACAAATGTCTCCCACAACTTGAGGGAAATATAGCTAGACCAGGGAGGCATTACAGACCCAGATGCAAGGGTGGGAGAGCCTAGAGTGGGGTTGGTAGTAAATGTGTCCCAGTCAACACTGGAAGGTGGTAGGCTGTTGGTGCAGAGGCTGGCTTGCCGCTAGGACCAGGGGGAAAGAGGGGCAGAAGGCTCTTGACTGAACTCATGGATGTAAAGGAAGGAGGAGGGCAGGGAGGCAATGATGCTCACTGAGGAAATCCGCAATGCCTGCAGGAATGCAGAAACACGCAAACACCGCAGTGAGCACTTGCAGTTGAGGGACAAGTTAGCGTGCATATCCCCAGGAAGCCACTAATCTGCTTTCTGTCTTTATACATTACTTTAGATGTTCTAGACTTTTATAGAAATGGAATCATACAGTATGTACTTCTTTGGTCTGATTTCTTTTACCCAGCATAATTATTCTGAGACCCATCCATGTTGTTACATGTATCAAGAGTTCACTTCTTTCTATTATTGAAGAGTATTCCATTGTATAATACTACCATAATTTGCTTATCCATTAATCTGCTGAGGGACACTTTTTTCCAGTTTGGGGAACATTACACAGCTGCTATAAATATTCTTGCACAGGTCTTATGCTGCCATTTATCTTGGGTAAACATGTAAACATGTAGGAGCAGAATAGCTGGATCATATGATACGTGTATGCTTACTACCAACTTTTTAACTTTGCAAGAAATTGTTAAACTGTTTTCCAAAGTAGTTGTACCACTTTACATTCTCACCAGAAGTTTTTTTAATTTTAGATATTCTAACAGAGGTACTGCAATGTGGTTTTAATTTGCACTTTGCTAATGATGCATTATTTTGAGCATCTTTTCACGTGCATATTTGCCATCTGTATATCTTCCTTGGTAAAGATCTTTTCCCCATTTTAAAACTGGGTTGTTTGTTTTTTTACTATTAAGTTTTAAGAACTCTTTGTCTATCCTGGATACAAGTTTTTTTATATCAGATATGTGATTTCCAAATATTTTCTCTAAGTCTGTAATTTCTCTTTTCATTTTCTTTTTTTTTTTAAGATTTTTTTTGTACTGGGAAATTGGGGGAAAGGGAACAGACAAGTTGCTGTCCTTTTGTTCTTCAGTCTAGTTGTGGAGGACGTTGCTTCACTGGTCCAAGTTGGTACCATCATTGCGCTCTTCCTGGGCGAGGCAGATCAGATGCCGGCTTCTGGACGGTCACTCATGGCAGCTGCTGGCCACTCACGCTGGCTACACATGGTAGCCCATGGCAACCCACCTGCCGACGCCGGCGACTCACGGCAGCCCAGCTCCAGTCTTGAGCTGTTGTTCAGCATCTTAGCTGTAGAGGGCAATGTCACTGGCCCTCATATGTGGGATCCGAACCGGGGCCCTCTGACGTCCCAAGCCAGCTCTTAACCAATGCGCCACTCGGCCAGCCCTCTTTTCATTTTCTTAACAGTGTCTTCAGAA